GCAAATATCTATCTAAAATACCTTTTCAAGTAAGGAAAATGTTAAATTCAGAAATATTTATTCACTTCTCCATAAAATAGAGAGCTATAATCCCACATTGAAGATGGTTAATCTTCAGAAAAAGAAATTTTAAAGATGAGCTGCTTTCTTATAACTTAATATCAGAACAGGAAAATCCAAGGAGTGTATCATCCAAAATGGGGGTTGCCTGGTGGGGCACCACTCAATGGGAGACGTCATCCATCTCAAGTAGGGAATAGCTTTTGCCCAGTAGAGGTGGTATAGCAAAACATATTGTCAAAATAACCCCTTGTATGGTGCTAGTGTCCCATAGCTGGACAAAATGTATGATTGCTCAACTGACTATTATCTCGCAGGCAGTTGGCTGAACATGATTGTGTAGTGAAGCTAGGGCAACAACTCGGGCCATTTCATATTAGACAAACCAGAATAATCAGGTGTAAGGAGAAAATATCCCAGACCTGCATTGGAAAACACAAGAACCCATTTGGCTGGCCAAACCACCAGGAATGGCTTGGTTCATAATGTAATAGGGTGGCTTGTACTACACTTCCAGCCCACTCAGTCTTATACTAGTTGAATCACATATACCATATCGACCTCCAAAGTGGCATAGGACTGTGGAAGCAAGGCTTCACTCACACTCCACTAGAAAAAAACAGGAGAGAGGAGTGTGCATGGGGGAGAATATTGAAGAGGTGCTTGGACTGAGCAGGAAATGCATCTACATAATGTCCCATGCTGTTAGAATGTGCAATGAGTTATCATGACTAAGGACAACAGATGCTAGTTAGGTGTGATGGAAGGTACACCTCTGAGGCTCACTTTTTCTTCATGTGAAGTATGGCCTAGAAGAGAAAATATAAATATGAAATACCAAAGCAGTTTTGCAGAAAACTTCATCTCAACAGCAGACAAGGAGCAAGAGCATATAAGCTTAACACTTTCTGTAGTCCTCCACTCAATGCAGATTTCAGGAAAAAGAATTCCTTGTGAGGCCTTACCAACCATTTGTATCTCTTTACTTATACATCAAAATATAATATTGGTGATGAGCTTTAAAGAGTAATCAATATTTGCCTCACTAGAGTCTTTTGGAAGAATGGCAACTGGAGTGAACTCAATCAGTCAAAAATAGAAAGTAATAAGTCCCAAAGAGAAGAAAGTTCTCATGGCAAAAAAATATGATGGTGATTGCCACATATGGGAGCAGTATGAGCTAGATAACAACAAACTGTCTGAAGAGGACAAAACACAACAATAAGGGTTGGAATAATCAAATAAAGAAGAATGGATGGGAGAGTGATTTGGAGAAAACATCCATTCACTCTCCCAAGCAGCCCAAATTTTGGGGAGGGAGTGGTCTGGAAATAAAATTAATCTGTTTGTGGTACATAATGCAGGAGGCTTTTAATGCAAAAAGAAAATGAGAGCGATGGCTCCTGCAAGTGAGAAGGAAAAGAAAATATGTCTGAAGCATATAAAGAGAGATTGAGTCAGTCCAGACACAGATTTCTCTGCCAGAGCTGCAGAGTCTGGGATTGGAAACCAAGAGAGTAGGAGCTAGGTGAGGGGAGTTAGAAAGGCAGTGATGATAAGTTTTCTATAGTGAGAGCAAATCCACTGAAAATACCAGAAGGAAAAACTACACTACGTATGGTAACAAAAGTTTAAAAAACACAAAACTGTCATTAATTCCTAAGAAAAACACATCTGAACAAAGCAGTGGAAATTACTGCATATGGTGGATGTGTCACCTATTTATTAGTGGAGGACTATAGTCTAATGATGATCATATCATAGACTGGCACAATACATGTTAAAATGTATAGAGGTGGGAGTTTCAAGGCTCGTGTTAGGACAAGAATCTTTATGGCAGTGGTGTGAGGTAATAGTTTTGTGCAGAGGCAAGTAAATATTTTTGAATTCCAATCATTTGTTATACTGGGCTTCTAAATACAATTTCAGATAAAAGTCGAGTAATCCATTGAAACACTACAATTACAACCTCACATGCATGAAATAGAATTGTAAACTGATTAATTTCATATCACAGAAAGTGGGTTTGTAAACGAAATTAAATTTTTTGTAATAAGTGTATAATAAGTGTCTTTATGCGATTCCTATTAAATAAACTTGTTAGTGTGTAAAAACAATATTTGAAAACACTAAATGCTAGAGCATTACAGAAAAAAACTTTTTATGAGTAGTTTTGTATTGTATGCAAGTACCAGAAACAAGTTAGAGGCAGTAGTACTGCCATGATTGATGGGTTTTTTAAAGATTTTATAATGGCATGTGCTCTTATACAAACCAGATTCTGAGAATACAGGACAAATGAACAACAGAAAGTAAATTTTATTTTCAAGAAACTGACAATTAATAAGAAAGAAAAAACAGACAGGAATGTAAAAGTGCTAAATTTATTTACTTCCACCAAATTCTTTGATTAATTCACACATATGACAATGATAGAATATTAGATGACACAGAAAAGAAGCCAATCACTATGAAATATACTAAAATCTAAAGTTCTCCATCCAAATAAACATTTATTGCAACAAATAACAAAAGGCTTTCCTTGAAAAGCATATGCTTTTTTTGAAACAACAAAATCAAAAACTGAAACCATAAAGCTGTTCTGTGGCCATATGAAAGCAAATTACACAAAGTTATAAGTAATAAACTGTTGATTAAAGACATAAATACAGACAATCATCCATTACAAATATCTAAAACAAAACAATAATTCATAAAAGAGGCACTGTGGAAAAACAATGCAATTATGTCAAAGGGAAGCTTAGTCATCTTATGTAGTTACAGAAGAGTAAGCAATGTTTTTCAGTACTTTCAACAACATAATCAGACAAAACATTTATCAACTGTAGGAACAATTAATAATTTTAATGTTCTCAATGAAAACTAATTTTTTTTACTAAATATCCCTTTACAAAACTTGGAACAGCCATCAAGAATGGAATGATACTCTCAAAGCATGTAACGCTTACAGTACAAGATCAGAAGAAAGAAATAGGAAGTTTCTTCTTTTTCCTTTTCTACTCCAAAGAACTAACAAAGGTATGACCAAATTTGGCTAAATTTCCAAAGAATTTCTTGCTACTTAGCTTACAGACTGGGTTCTATATATTTTACAAATCTTTTTAACAGCCTCTTATCAAACAGTTTTAAAATTATAAATAATTCTATTCCAAAACCATTCTTCACAATAAAAACTTTCTTAATACTGATAAGGAACAGTTAAAACTAGGAACTAGACACACTTGTAAAATATTTCAATCAGTCCAATGCAATATAAAAAATCCCACAATTAGATATGCTTTTCACTTTAGAGCACATTATGAGATTTAAGCAACTAACCAAATGTATAAGTAATTCTAAAGTTTTTAACAGTACTTCTTAATAGCATTTGTAATCAAGAACAGAACAACTTTAATGTAACACAAAATGTATTACAAATTGGAAAGCCTTTGTAACTTCATATCCCAAATGTTTTTTTTTGTTTGTTTTTATCAAAACACAAACTAATTGAAACCTAATGCTTGTGAAGAATGAACTTTAATGTAAAAACAAAAAAACTATTGAAATAATATTTAGCTTCCATAATAAGTTATGGTTCTTCATATATTTTCAGATTGTAATGAATAAATAAAACTAAGAAGGTACCCAGATCTTCAAACAAGATAAAAGATAATGTTCATGCAATTACTAACATTCAAAAACTGATTTCTTGTTATGTATCCAAAGTTACACATAGTGTTAAAAAAGTTTGTGCATAATAGTAAGTAATTATAATTACTTACTTTCAAGTGCAACTAACAAAACTTTCTTTACCAAGATTCAAACTGAATCATTTTGCTTAGCCAAAATGATAAATTATTTTTGTAATATGTATTCCCAAAATAAGTGGTAAAAAACTTTACAACAATTTAGTTTATCTCATAATTTATAGGATATGAATTTGGTATACTAGTGTTGTGTCAAACACCTTAGATATTTTATATAAAACTAATATATGCATTTGTTTATACAGTTATGCTATTTAAAAAAAAAAAACTTTGGATACTACAAACTGTTGTGTGGCAACATAGATAATTATTTTGGTAATAATGAAATGTTTGTTCTGTTGGACTGGATGCAAAGCTACACTAGGTGTCCCTGATTTAAGTGATAGACTAGAGGGAAGGCAGTTAGTCAACACCACTCACCATGAACTCGTGGGCTTTTACCATCACTTATATAATGCACCCAGAACCCCAAAGTACTGAATAGGACATGTATTTTATTTTACTGGCGGTAATGGGAAGCAAGCCATGGAACTTCGGCTCCATAGTCTGGCATGCTAATCACTGGGCCACACTCTGCAGCGAGAGAAAAGGAATAGTAGACCAAAAAAATAACTGAATTAATTCCCTTTGACTTTAATGCAAATTAGTCCCTGTCCTTCCACATACACACACACACACACACATATATATTTTAACACAGAAAAATAGTTTGGATCGAAGCTCACATAAAATACACATTTTGTGATAAGTGTGGCAGAGATTCCTTTAATTACAATTTTATTTCTGCTTTTAACATATTGAGAACTGCTTCAAATTACCAAATACAGACAAAATTTTTCATGTTAGCCACCCTTGTACAGTTAAATTTCAGTATAAATGTTCAACAATCAAGTACAAAGGATGCTTATTTCTGGCTCAACACAGTATAAGGATAGGGGTGACTAACATGAAGGTAATAGTTTTCTCAGCTCTTTATGTGTACTGACTTTTTGTTTTCCAGTAACTTGGTGAAAAAGTGGACAGCATTTTTTTTATTTATTTATTACAAAAGAGTGTACATAATCTAAACTCTGGCCTAACAAGTGAACAGTACCAGCAGCAGGGAGATAAAAGGTTGGTGTGTAATATGAAGGAAACAAGGTGCAACAATCTGATTACACATACACACACAGATACTCTACAAGTTTTTTATTTTATTTTTTACGGCCGCAGCCCTGAATGTTTTCAGACATTTCTGGCAATAACAGAAGAAGAATGGTTATGTTTGTCCATTTTGTGTTTCAAGATTCACAGATGCATCAAAAGTTGTAGTTTCATGGCATGAATGATGCCACTAATGGACCTCAGAGCTCTCTGGCTTGGGAGTTAGACGGTTAGATGTATCTTGAAGGGTGGAATGGGGTGTTGAGTGAGAAATGGGGATGGCAGGGGGAGTGGATAAGGGCTCTATAGTGGTAGAATGAGCTACACTCATTGGGTTGTAGTTGTAGCATGTTGCCCCATTGATCGTTTCTCCAAACCCGCTGCTACCAAAATAACCTTTATTGACACAGTTACGTAATGATTCAGGAATGCGACCCACAATAGCTCTTCTTATCTCAGAAGCTGCCATTTCTCGAAGTTCAGTAGAGCTTGCATCACTGTACCAGGCAGCATGAGGTGTACACATGAGGTTTGGTGCATCTTTTAAAGGCCCTAATATATACATATAAAAAAAATTATATAGACACACACTCCAAGATGATGATAAAAAAAAAAAAAAAGCCTACAAAAAGTAGTCTTCCAAGAAAAAACGTTTTTGCAAACTTACTGATATTTTATAAACATATTGCAAACAGAAAAGTCTGTAAAGGCTAGCCATCATCATTGTAACAAAAAAATTATATAATAATAATTACACAAAACTTCATTTTCTTTCTCAATGAAGAACTGTGGAAAAGTATATAAATAGTTATTACGATTGAAAAGCACAATACAAAAGATACATGAAATTTATTCAAAGGCTCCAGAGTGCAACTTTTCAGTAGCATGAGATAATTTTAAATAATGGAACTTGTATCTCTTTGTAACAGATAGCATTGAAACTAATAAAAATATTATTATATAAAGTTATACACAGACATTTTTCCAATTTTGTTTAGTTTGGAACTTACCACTAAGTGCATTGAAAGGTTCATTTTCATGAACATCTAAAGCAGCTGCTCGAATTCGACCATCTTTTAATGCAGAGGCTAGGGCATTTTCATCTACAAGCCCTCCTCTTGCTGTATTTACAAGAAAGGCACCTATTAACAAAAAAACAATTGCAGCTTTTGATTTTATATATTTAAATGTAAATAAATCAAACATTACTTGATAATTTAACATGGCCATAATCTTTAACCCAATCACTGCTGGCTACTAACTTTCTGCGTAGCCAAAGTCTTGTTATATTTCATTCCAATGATAAAACTAGTGGATGAAGTTGTTAAAAACTTCGTAAGAACTTTCATAAATGTATGTAGTTTAAGAAACATAAAACTTGTTACTTTTGATAAATTGAGTTTTTTATATTATTATCTTTAATATCTTGGAAAATTACATTAGGAAATGGTATTTATATTTAAACTAATTACTTTTTATGTTTTATTACATTATTTTAAAATCTCTAAAAACTTTTTATCATCCATAAAATGCAAATTTTTTTTTAATAATCATGTACTCTCCTTATGGTTTCAAGAAATATACAAGACCAAAAATAATATTTCTAAGTAAACCT